GTGTGTGTGTGTGTGTGTGTGTTTCTGTGTGTGTGTGTGTGAGGCACAACTTCATTATGTAAAATTTTATGTAAAATTATTTTTAAAAATTATTTGCATGTCTAGGGACAAAAAATATAAAATATATAAAACAGGGTTCTTTCATATTAATTACCACTGCTAGTACTATTTTTGTCTTGTGTATAATTTTGCTTTATATGTTTATTTGTAAATACCTGTAAAAGTTACCTAAATGTATTCTGTGTATATATTGATATTACTTTACCTATCAAAATGACGTAATTAATTATTTTATGAATGTCCATTCTAAGTATGCAGTTTTATAACAACATGTCTCACCTTTAAAACAAAAATATTTGTTTGAAAAACCAATCAAAATTGACCAAGTTATGGTTATTTAAATAGTTAATGCACGGCCGCCGTGTGAGGATGTCGGAGACTCTGCTATGACAGCTAGCCTTTATCTATGCACACACACACACACACACCCGGCCCCATGCTGAAATGGGCGGGACAGAAGCGGAAGAAGGTTCTTTAAGAGACAGAGGCCAATTTCAAGGCCTTTAGAAACAGATATAATGAGAAGTTTATTTTCTATTTAAACTTATAAACATTTTAAAAACAACTGAAGGTGAAATAGTTACTTTATTATGGTATAAAATTTAAATATGTGCCTGATAAAATGAAATGCTCTCCTGTATTGAGCTGCAGTAATGTGCAAATTTCCCCACTGTGGGATCAATAAAGTTTTATCTTATCTTATCTATCTTATCTGATAAACACATAATATTGCCCCTTTAAAGACCTGACGATTGTGGGAACAATGAAAAAAGTTTTGATGCCATAAAAGAACCAGTTGAGGTTTTGGGATTGTCCCGAGGACACATGAGATTCTCTCTCGGGACCTTTTAGGTTCCATGTTTACAGATATTTCAGGGGTTTGGAATGTGGGGGAATTAAGGGACCGCTCAGCGCCCGAGGCTTTGTGGTATTTTTTGGTTTCTGGGTAATGAGGTGGCTACAGTCAGGGAGGCCTGGAGCTTTGTGTTAAATGTTAAATAAAGTAGTTATTGAAGAATCCTTGTTTTTATTCACCTGCCTCCTCTGCAGGAACTACGGACCCACGATAGCGGTTCAGAACGAGGCATTGAAGCGAGGCTGCCAGCAGGTCCTCTGGCTGTACGGACAGGAGGAGGAGATCACCGAGGTCGGAACCATGAACCTCTTCATCTACTGGACCAACACCAAAGGAGGCGAGACTCTTTTCAAACCTCTGCTGTGTTTATTAAAGCAGAAACCTTTCAGAGCCTTTATCTTTTTGTGTTTCTGTGCGTCTGCAGAGAGAGAGCTGATAACTCCTCCTCTGGATGGCATTATTCTCCCAGGAGTGACCCGGCAGTCCCTGTTGGACCTGAGCAGACTCTGGGTAAGAAGCTAAACTCCGCAGATGTTTGCTGTAATGAATCGGTGTAAATAGGTGAAAGTGCTGACCTGCTCCACACCAGGGGGAGTTTAAAGTGACGGAGCGGACGATGGGCATGAAGGAGCTGCTGCAGGCTTTAGACGCTGGACGGGTTCTGGAGGTGTTTGGAGCGGGGACCGCCTGCGTGGTCTGTCCGGTCGGCAGCCTGCTTTATAAAGGAAAGGTAAGAGTCCGACTGCGCTCGTGTTGCTTCTACTGACACTTCATTTCTGGTTGTTTCTTTTGTCTTCAAAGGGTTTTTATGTTAAAGACAATTTTATTTTAGTCAAATATAAACTACAGAGTGATTTTTCTAGAGCAGCTGAATGAATAGTGTCGTTTGGGTTGGAGTGTGATCAATCTGTGTGGTTCCTTCTTAGTTTTTTCCTTATCAAAATAAAACGAGGAAAAAACAAATCAGGTGGTTTTTCAGTTGTTTTTTTTTTTTTTTTGTAAGCCGAGGTTCTTCTTCCATGAAGCAGCTCTGTTGTCCTCCATCCATATTTTCAGTTCCAGGCTGAGTCATTTCTACCTTCTCCTCTCTGTC